CCGTGAGCTATGATACCGGTGAGGTTCGTTTTCATCATCGTATTATTAGCCATCTCCTTAGACAAACGTCGGCGCGATGCATGGGGAATAGTAGTCTTTGCCTGATCCATTCCATCTATAATGATGCACAAGCTTTGGTCCTTATGCAGCATCGGTCATACTGCTTGCGATGGGCCTTTTGCAGATCGAGGTGGCTCCTTTGCGCTGCAACCAGTTCCCGTCGTGGCCCCGACAGTGCTCCTTCAATGAGGATAGCGTTTTTTATGCACACGTTGCACCTCGCGTGGTCAGTCGTTCGAGCCAGCCTAACGTGCCAAAAATAGTCTCTCCATATCTTACAAAACACCTGATACGACGCGCAAGACACACCCAGTTTGTCTAACCTGCGTTTGATGCTATTATAGACGTCTTTCTTACTACCATACACCGAAGGGAGACGAATACTGTTCCTAATCTCGAAATCCGGACCCGTCTCCGTCTGATCCGGCATAGGATCGGACTCGTCAAGGATAATATCCTCAAACGCAGACCATGTCAACGCATATTGCGTTGTTGTCCGAGGACGTCCCTCGTTAGTATGACCTGCATCGACGACTCCTTCGTCGAGGTCATCATTATGTCTTTTGTATGTGTTTCGGCCACAACCGAGTATCAAACACCATGCGGTGACACAGACCGGATGCATCTCTACAATAGGTTTCACCTCCGGCTTCCTTTGGATCAGAGACGTGAAACTACGAAGCTTGTCTATCCACCACTTGCGCTTGTCCTTGCCTCTAAACGATCTGAACTCGCGTCTGCACTTCTGGACCTCCACTGCTTTCATTCTAGAGAGACACCTGTAAGACTTGCAACATGTCTTCTTCACAACGGCCTCGCACTCTTTACAACAGTCGCGAAGTGTCCAAGACCAAATGGGAAAACACAAGAGAGAGAAAAATGGAAGGAAAATTTAACGCACAGTGCACCCTCGTTCTCGCTTACAGCATCTCAACCCAGGCAGAAGAAAAAACAACAACAGGCTCAACCAGGAGTCTTCCTGCAGCATATCAAAATCGTGAAACGGCAGCAAGCTGTCCACCAGCCAAGACACCCAGGCCCCCCAAGGGGCTGGACAGTCGTATAAACGGAGGCGAAGCCTCATGCTCACCAACGAAGAAGCTTAGCGTGGATGCTCTTACCAACTCACTAAGCAGGTCGCCCAAGCCTGAAGTTTCCTCTATTAACAAAAAAAAAAAAAAAAAAGGATGAGAAACGCAGCTCCGGAAGTTGTGGCAACCAGCAGGCCCCAAAGCCAGCTCCAGCATGACAAGAAGAAGGTCTTCAAGGCTTTGGCCGTGAACCCCTCGCACTGCACTTCAAGATCCCACGCGGCAGCAATTGTCTTGTATTTGACTTCCGCCCTCACCAGGGGTGGAGTTAGTCCCTCCTGCCCTTTATACTGAACCAAATAGAGCCCGGAATCCAATAAAGAATAGCCATATAATGGCCCATATTCATGATGGGGCGAACTGCAGAGTTCCTAAGTGTACAAAGGGTCCCATAGAATGGCACGGCAGTTTTAGTTTTTTGCCTCTGAGTCACTTTTCTGCAGGATGCAGTCTTTTTTTTATCTTTTTTTTTATCTTTTTCAGGACGCAGTCTGTTTTTTTTTTTAAATCCCAGGGTGTTGTAGAGGCCAAGGACCAGACCCACAGTGATTGCTGGTAGTGGCAGCCAATGGTTGTCCTGACAGGATAGGCCACCTACCCTACCCATCCCCACGTTAATACTCCCAGCGCACCCGCTGTCCCCACTATCCTACCTGGGTGTGACCAGCACTCAGGACCATCACCCTACCAGTATTGAGGGCAACTTGGACCAGACAGCAGAGACGAGCACCAGGGCTGGGGCGACCTCCCAGCCCGTTTTTTTTTTTTTTTTTTTTTTTTTAAGTGTACGAGAGTTCCCTAGCCACAAAACCCAACGAACGGAGTGTTTGTCTAGAATGATGCAGTGCATGCTGGGCGCAACATAACCCCGAGAAAGACACTCGGATATGGCTATACCAAGGCATACAGCAGTTCCGCAAACCTCAGAAGCTCCATCCGTCAAAGGTCATCAATGAACAGGCATCATTGTTGCAAGGGATGTTGGGCCCGGTTACCATCTTTTCATTGACATGGGACGTTAGTTGAACCACTAGTACTTCCAAAGTCACGGCCATATAGGAGCCACAATGCGCCGAGCCGAACCGGCCTGGTGGCTCCGATAGCAATCCATTCAAGTGGAAACATCGCAGCTTTCAAGTGGAAACATTGCGGCTTCCTTTTTCGCTGCGACCGATGTGTGGGCGAAGTACTGGTGGCTTGAAATTGCAACCATGCAGAGAAGATTAGTATGGCCGATGCAAATAGATGGAGTCTTCCCGGGAGTGCTAGTGGTGTCTTCTCTTACCAGCACCCCTATCACCCACTTGGGATGCTCTTCTATAATAATAAGAAAAAGTAATGCCCCCGCAAGGATGACAGCCATAAATCGGGAAATGAAAGTTCTTTTTCTAAGGGAAAAAATCAAGGAAAAACGAAGAAAAAAAGTGGCAAGTTGGCAACAGGTCTATCCTGCCTTTTGGTAGTAATCTACACTTTCTGCCAGGTGTGAAAGAAAAAAAAAAGGAACACCTCTGCCAGGTGTGAAAGGAAAAAAAAAGAACACCTCTGCCAGGTTGTGTAGAAATGACCAAGCGAAACTGCCTGTGGGGGGAAGGTCCCAATAGCAACGGGATAGGATAGAAACGAGTTTGTGGGGCAGTTGAGGGACCCAAATCCTGCCGTGCAGTACTGGTGATCCCACGGTCAGTATTCTACATGTATTACCCGAAAAAGTAA